CGGTTGAGCAAATTTTTTTCTTCCTGCCATCCTGAGACAGATTTAGCAAAATGCTCACAAGTTGTTCAAATAAGGAACTGAACAACTTTGTTGATTGTGGCTTTACGACAACTCATCAGACCTCGTTATCTTCTCTTGATCTGTGATTTATAACTTTTTGCTTTAGGAATTTGCGTTGTTAAACACATTTCGCTGTAATTCGTTTTCATCAGATTCTTTATTGAATTGTGATTTCTAATTCACTTTCCAATGAGAAAATCCGCCCACGTAGCCGCACTTAAATACGATTTTTCTAGAATCAAAGTGTAGAATACAATTCGTTCAAAGGCAAACACACTACATCTTTGTTATCTGGTAACGCGTCAAGTATTGTACCTTGAGAACTAACCAACTAGTAAAAACTGCTCACATGAGAAAGATATGAACGAGTTTTTTCAGCGATTATGAGATGTTTTGTCAATGATCGCCATGCCTCGGTCGGTCGAACCTTAGCATCTCCCTAGCACCTCCCTCTTCCTACGTTAACGTTGCGCCTCTCTATGGGACCTTCTTCTTAAAGTACTTCAATAAACATTGCTTGCATGCTTATAATCTTATGTATTTTTGTGAATCGTCCTTCGAGCAGTTTTTTTGTTTAAAAAAACGCATTCTAAATACCTATAGAAGATGTCTATTAGCGCATGCGAAACTGACAACAATTCGCCAGAATTGTACAGATCCTTCATAGTTGGTATAGTGTATATTATTTTTCCACTTCTGCTACTGCTCCTCTATATGATTTTCAATATGGTAAGTCCGTGTGCTTTTTCTTACCTTGGTTGATAAAAGAAAAGCAGTGTCAAAAATACATCAGTCTAAGCTCGTATCCAAGTTTTTTTTCAGCGTATATGTGCGAGCAATCAATTCCGTAAACTTCAAGCTTTTCGACTAATGATTTACATAGGAATTCTAGACTGCATGCAACTGATCTGTCACAGCTTTAGTGGAATTCTCACTGTGTGCCCAACTCTCAGCATTCAATTGCCCTATCTTAATCGGGTTTGATTGTTTATCACAGATCTTTTCAAACTGATCAGACTACGAGGTTTCTACGAGGTTTTGTTGGTTTAACGTTTCAGTGTATAAAAGTGGCATGACTAAGATCAGTCCGACCCCGACGAAGACGAAGACTTCGAAGCGTTTTCTGAATAGGATTGCATAATAACCTCGTGTAAGCTGAAAATTCTAAAAATATACTGATTAATCATGCTGAGCTTAAATTAGCGTCGGTCTTGAAAAGTATCATCACTTAGTAACAACTGATCCTACACCGATGTAATGCTGTGTATGGTTCCCTTATGATCTTAACAGATTCTAGCACAGATTACACGGTTTTCACAAAAGTGATATGTTGTTGCACTGGAATATTTTGTTTTCATCTAGATCTCAGAGGAAACCGTGCCATAACGTCACTAGGTTTTCACGAGAAGCTAGCAGCACAAGAAGGTGATACGGAGGTCACTTCACTCTAGTTGCTTTTTCAGATGTTAGGTGCAATTTTAAACTCAGCATGGGCAGGTTTATTTCCACTGTCGTTCGTCATATTTCTCTATCGTCTATTGATAGTCCGAAAAGTAGCTGACCCAAGTTCAGGTTGCACATCAAATTAGATAGAAAATAATTTGTTCTTCTAGCAAAAAAATATTGAAATTTTCTGTTAGCTGAATTTCCCAAAAGCACTATTACTAAAAAGTGTGTTGCGGATCCGTCATTTACAAGCAATTTGAATGTCTCCAACACACGGCAAATCTTCACTCATTCCTGTTGTCCAGCAGGACCCATGGGTCTAACACTCAATTAAAATATGAAGAGCATTTTGCAATTGCTTTTAAGTTCATTGTTATGTTTTTCTTCACCCAATGCTCACCAAGCCCTCTATCCCTCCAGGTCGCTTGCCAACGGTTTTTTTCCAGCACTTAATCTTCTATTCAATGTTTACAAAATAAATATCGAGTGAAGTGATGGAAGCCCAGAATTTTGAAAGAGGTTTTGATGAAGACTGTTTGAAAATCTTAGCCCTTTTATTTACTGCCTTTTTCTTTTTAATGGCAGGGTGTGTTGCGAAATATAACTCGTATATAATGCTGAGATATTTGCAAAACTCCGGACCGCACGTGTATGCGGTGAGGAACGAACACGCGCTGTTGCCCTTACCGGGTTCAATGCCGATTTGGGCTCCCCAGATCAATCCCGTTGACGGGTGATTGCTGATGGCAAAAAGATCGATAGAACTAGCTGAGAAACAGGCAAAACGAAGGACCCGGATGGTGTGGTGGTGAACGCGTTACTCCCCGGAAAGGACAATAGCGCATTCGCTCCCCACCGCATACACCTGCGGTCCGAAGTTTCGCAAATATCTCAGCATTATATACGGACTATTTGAAAATATTCAAAATGTCGAATTCTAAATGTTTCAGCTGGGCGTGGTCGTACAGCACGCGAGGAGGCTCCTACATAATGTCACAGTTCGAATTCATGGTTTCTACGCCATTTATGTTTCTCACCTTTGCTATCTACATATCGATTGCTGTGACAGTATACAAGGTCCGTTTGGTTATAGTCGACAGTGGCCGTTTCTTTTCTAACTTTTATTCTTTTAATAAATACATATTCCTCTCAAAACTCCGCCTTACCGATGAGTTCATCACTATTTCGGAGAGAACCAGTGAGAGTAGACCGTTCTAAAGGTGCTAAACGGAAAGGCGAACAGGAATGCGAGAGATTTCTAGAGAATCCAGTTTATGGAGAACTCAAAGAAAGAAAACCCACTATAAACAAATTTAAATGAGTAGCACACACGCGGTTGTTATTATATGTTACTTATTTACAACAGCCAACGTCTCGACGCTTCTGCCTTGGTCAGGGCCCGTTTTCCCGAGTCAATGAATGTTTGCTGATGATTCACATCTTTACCGTGCTTCAGTGAAAGTGGATTTTTAAGATATTACATGAGCACTTCTTTCGCTGTGGAATCCACATTTTGCTTTACCAGAGATGTTCATTGATAATGAAAGAAAGACATTAAAAGATATGCAGAAGAACGAATAGTATGAGTGGCGATCAGGTCTTAGAGAAGGAAGTGATCCACTGGCGCAATCAGTACTTGGTGCTCGTCAGATTGTATGATTCAGCTTTGCTCCGCTGTGCTGCTGAGACATTGGTTGATAACTCTGAGCGTGAAGCAGTTCACGTATCATAAAAAGACGTCTGAACTATATTTAATTAAACATTTGCCTCAATCTTATGAATCATTTAGCGGGACCACGCAATGTCTAGTCTGAGCGTGTAGTTCAGATCTTCACAAAATATCTCAGTTTTAGGATTTAAGAGAGTACACCTTAAAATTAATGAACAGTAAAAATGGTGCGTAATAAAATTAACCGACAACAGATAGTGTAGGAGAAATATGGAGTGTAACTCAAAATAATGTAAGCTGTGTCCAAGACGACTACCAACAAGAACGATTGTTTCCCGCTCAAACCGATGTGTTTAGTTGCTTCACAGGCCAAGGAACGTTGCTCGTAGAGCTCGCCAAACAAAATATCTTGAAGGACGCTCATGACGTGAACAAACAGGTGGAATGATGTACTGAAGCCAGCTCGACTCATGAGAGGACATCGTCCGCATGGGTTAGAATGCTCTTGATTGGCTGCGAGACAATAAGTTTTCTTTCGGCCTACATGTAGACGACTGCCATTTGGGAATATCTTAGAACAACCGTCCACGGATTTGAAAAAAAACTACGCTTCATCAGACTTAAAACTATTACTGAGAAAAAAGGATAATAGAGCGTCAAACCATGAAAAAGCCATAACCACTAGCATGGTTCTTAATAAACCGCATTAATATTTATTAAAATAATTAACACTTGCACCGATAATGCTCATGGAGTTGCATCAGTATACAACTGTGGTTGGTTCACTTCCAGATGAAGCATGGATTGAACAGCATACATAAAACTGAGCTGCAGTTAATCGTCCACGCAGCAATCCTATTTCTGGTGTTGACTAGTTTGATCACATTCTGGTACTATCATCAAATTTCTCTTCCCGGATTCAGAATGGACGGTGTTCGCGATAAATATGTATTGGATAATGTACTGCGATCTGAATCCACTCCTCTATTTGGTGCGCGCGCGGTGAGTTAACTACTTTGCGAGTATGTGTTTCATCACATGTTTTCGAAATTTTGATAACGAGACAATTTTACAGTTTAGACGAAACGGCGTAATATTCGAAATCTCTTTTGCAGATGTTAAAAATAACCTGATTTTGCCTGAGCATTCTCACACATTCTCGTACACCTTGTAGGGCTCTGTAGTGCAGTTGGTAAAGTCGCGCTGCAAAACCTACAAACTCGCTGGCTATAAGTCATACTTTGTGCCAACCAAGCCCCCATCTCATTGGGGTCGGGCAAACGGTGCAGAATTTATCTGGCAGGGCAAGAACACTTACTTGATAAAACAGTTTTTCCTAAAAAGTCATTCTAAAGGCCAGATATATAACCAGTCACCTCTATACAGCCAGTGTTCAATGCTTAGCGCATTCCTCAGGTGTAGGTCAACAACTTTTGCTTTATCCTTATCTATTCATCAAATGAAAAGTGCCTTAGAGGCTGCACACTCGTATGGTAAAAATTGATCATAACAGGTTAATAGCTGATAAATTCGACACTATTCATGAAGATGAGCTGTGTTTTCTCTATTCATTCACAGAAAATTTCTGTTGTTAAAGAGATGTTGTGATGACATGAAGTTTTTTGTCTTGTTTTTGCTGAATGCAACATTAGACAGGATCTCTTTCAGTCAGTATTACGTTAGATGTATAAGTTAAATATTGAGTTAAAGGTTCTGACGATGAGTTAAATGTGAGCATCCTACGAAATGTTTGCTTCACAGGAACATCCGTCGCTCGTTTCTTCAGTTCATTCGAGTAGCGACTCCAGAGCGGACTATAACCGTTTTATCGATAGCCGCCAAGAAATGAGTGAAGTGAATACACCATTTTCTGAATTTTGACATTCGATGTTAACATGTCCACAGCAGTTCCGACTTCATATCTCCACATTTTGAACGCATCCCCTTCCATCGTATAAGCAGGAATACTGTAAACATTATGAACCTCGTATATGCTTGCTTATGGCTAGTGGAACTCCATCCCATTGCGAATAAATGGTTCCGGAAATCTTTTAAGCGTTGCATTTTAAGAAAAGAATGTGAAATTAGAGTTTTAGGTTGAAAATGGCACAGATATCAGCCAGTGTTCAAATGTAGGAAATTTTGTGGTTATGATTTGGAGAAAGGGAAAAGATACTGTAGATTATCTTCTCATTTTTTCGATCCTTTCCAGACTTGAAATTAGGTTTTTCTGAGAAAGCCGTTTTGACAACCGTTTGATACGGAAAGGCTCTCTTGTGAACAAATTTCTCCAGATGTTTGAGAAGCATGCTAGTGAAAAGTCTGGTGAGCTTAGTAGAATTAAGCAATGTGTAGAGCTTCGTGCCAAGTGCGTTTATCGATGGCTTCCTTTCAAATTTGTTGTGTTGGTTTTTAAACAACATTTCTATGTCCTATCATTCCATGAAGACATGAAAAACATTGAGCAGAGATAATCCTTCTGCCGATCACATGAAAGTCGTGACAATCGCAGCTTGATGAAGGAGTAGTGGCTGAAAACTCAGTGCCATCGTATTCTTCATTGCCAAGTGCTGCGCACCACCTCACTCGATTTATCTCGATGTCTGCAATGAAGCCGAAACAATACTAAAGTCTTCTTGCAAAGTTTTGTAAGCCTATTGCTAAACTAAATCAGAATGCTGCTTAAAATGTTAGTTTTGGTTCTCACGCCTGAAAAATCCTCAATATAGAAAGAAAAACGAAAAGGATGAAAAGTGTAGTTTTTTAGTTTCAAGATGGCTTTTAAGATGCGAAAACGTGTGAGAGTCATTCCATACAAAATTAGTTTATTTTTTGTCATCTAGAATATGAAAATGTTTACTCTGGTTTGTGTTTTCCACGACCACTTTGCTTAAAAGCATATTAAATTAGCCACTCATTGCGCACAAAACGTAAGCAGTGTCAACGATGTTCAAGGAATGTTGAAACTCTTCAATGGTCTGAACACGCATTAAAGCTACAAAGTCAGTCTATCAAGGCAAGGAAAGTTTTTCTAGTGGATTTCACACTACATACTTCTCAAGACAAGCTAAGGATTATGCATGGTTGTTTCCTACTCATTTTGAAGGTACGATCCTGCACATCAGAGAGTGCTAAGAAGACTCACGTCTAATCGGATGCTGTAAAACCCTAATGGATTTCAATGACGGTTCCCTTCTTTTCTCTTATACTGCCGTTATTGGATTGAAAGTCAATGGCCATCGACAAAATCCTCATATATTTTGCAGAACTAGAGTTCACTAAAGGCAAAAAATTAAAATTTCGCATCCACTTGCAATTTGGGTGGTCTGCCTTGGCGGCAGATTCGTGTAGAACACAATACAATTTGCATTTAACTTGTAGTTTACTGGTTGAAAATGTCCTTTTTTTCCATGTTTTAAAATAACAGTCCTAAAAACTAGTAGGAGTTTGTCTCACCTCATCATGGGTCATGGTTTTCGTCACGAGCTTTGTGAATAGTGATTTTTTCTACGAAATTTTTTTTTACTTTACCGTCTTCGCATCAACATTGTGGATCACAGGATTTCACACACTCTGTTCGTTACTTAGCAACCATCATCTACTATGTGTCTTCGAAGATTTGGTCCTTGAGTTCGGATGCTATTTAAGGGATATTTTCTTTCTTATATCTTTGAATGCTGGTCAAGCCGACTCGTCCTCGAGCTTCTAGGATAATCGTGTGAGAGCGTTCCAGCGTCGATTTGAGGGAGTGAGTTGCGCCCTTACAAGTCTACAACTAATTTTCTCACCCCGGAAGGTTGAGATACTTGGTGAGTGCGGAGCTGGGTCGAGCCAACCTTGTACTTTTGTATCTTCATGGCTCACAGGTATATGAATTAGTCTTCTATAATACGTTCTATAGCAATCTTCTCTCATCAAACGTTTTTGCTAATGAAAATGGTTGTTCTCGAGCCACGTGAATTCTATGAAGTCAAAACAGTCAAAACAGAGAATACAGTCATCATAAATGTTCGTACATTTATCGGTTGTCTTTTTCTGAAAACTGTTCAAGCAAACATTTATAGATTTACGGCTAACCAATCAATAGAAACTCTTCACGTAAAGAAAAAATTGTGGTTCAATATCTTGAAACTGAAAACTATTACGAGCATATTGTCTTGAATTGTAGCACCTATTGGCAAATTTACAAGACTGAAGAGATTAAATCAACGCAGTGAGAGACAAGAATGGACTGCTCACAAATAGGACGAAGACCCAGTCCACGAAGAATCCACGATCCTAGAGGTTAACAAATAGAACTGGATAGTCCTCCGATTACAGTGGCAACCTCGTACATATAACTTGAGCGTCAACGCAAATGAAAAATGACGTGGAAAAAAATTAAACATAATCGGAACAGCAGAAGCTGCATTTGAGCCACCCAAGGATTAACAGACCTATCTGCGCTCACCGTTTTATCTCAATACCCCCACCTCTCTCTCTCTCTTTAGATCCTACCTGCGGCAACGAAGAGAACACAAATCGATAGCGAAGTACAGGTGGGCCGGTCATATAATAAGAAAACACAGATAAACGCTGGACGGGGAGAACAGAGCAGTGGACTCCAAGAAAATGCAAGCTTCTTCTTGGGCGAACATCTAAATTATAAGCGAACGTGTTCGTGGCTGACGTCGGACATCTACATTTACAGATACAGCGAGTTCGGGATTACGGAATCGGCTTAGTGGACGTCACCATGTTGGAAGAATGTCCCAATTTTGAACCACGCTTGCGCGAGAGGATAACGAATAAAAATTTTCATGGAGCGTACCCTACCAGTAGAGAAGATTTCACGAATATCGTTGAAGACTATTCTAGTCGGCCCCACCAGGTATTCTGGAATAGTTCGAGTAGCACGTTATTATGTTTCTACCACAAACTTTTAGCGACTTGTTTAGATCACATTTTTAACCCCAGTGCATTTCTGTACAGCCAAAAAATGGTACCAATCTTTTAACCTCACAGGGATGGAAACATTGATTCGGTGTGGCATCATGCTAGACACCTCATTGCTGTAGAATGCGCAAAAATTTCCTTTTCAAGCAACTTGAATAAAAACAATTCATGCCTGTAGGACAATTATGCAACCTGTTGGAATCCGTTTACTTGACATGGGAACCTCCCACTTTTCTTTTAGAGCAGTTTATTTCCGTTGTCTCTAAATAAAAAGAATCTACGAAAATTTCGTTTGACTTCAGAATCAAATCGTTTCGAAAACGGTTATTCAACAAAACAAAGAACGTCCACAGTTGCCACCAAGGTAAATTTTTAGAACTTCGCAGTAAAAAAGTACTGCTTAGGTGCAATTTCTGTCGTTAGGGTTAGTACAGATCCCGATAGCCGGTTAGACGCGAGGCTACGTGGCGCGTCACCAAGTGGCGGATAGGGGCTTAATCGCAGACCGAAAGCGACCTTTGCTTCCTTGAGACGCAGGTGGACCCAGGGGATGGACCCCCTGTTTTTGCCGCGCCGATTTGGCACATACTTTTTGTATATGCTAGACGTATTCATGCGTTCTCGCTTATGGGGATTGTATTCAACGAGTCAATTCGGCCAAAAGCCTGCAATCAAGTGACAGGAAAGTATGGGAGGCGGTTAGGAGTGCCTCCAACAAATAACATTCGTGCCCACTCTGGTAGTCTGTCAAGCTACCCGTGAGTATACTCAACCCTCACGTTCAAAGCCCAGCAAGCTATACGTGAGTATCAAAAAAAGTGTTAAAATGCTAAATGCAGTAAAAGAAATGGGCCTCATTCTCTGACCCGAAAAAGCCCAAAATTCTGCAGCGTTGGGAAGGACGAGTACGCAGATGCTGCTAAAATGGCAGAGTCAATGGAAGCTGTCTGGATTGCAAAGAACTACGACGACGATCTGTACCTACAATGCACGAACACCTGCATTCGAGTCCTCGATAGAAGACTTGCTCATGGGAGCAAGAAGGGTAAGGTACGAGAAGAGGCCAGCCCTTCAACGCCGTCTATGATACTGGAGAAGAACTGTTCCTTGGAACATGCGACAGTAGAGGAGTCGGCGGCGTTGGCGTTCTCGTCAACACGAGTTTATCCATGAACGATTGATTCGAATAGTTTACAAACCGAATTGAATGTTCACGATTAAAAAGGTGTGAAACAAAATCGTCTTTGACAATCTTCGTTGTTTAAGCGCCGACATCAAACCATGACAAAGAAGAAGTCGAAGCGTTCTATACCATACATTCTTTAAGGTCATCGTTGGAGACTTCAACGCCAAGACTGGACCACGAAGAACGTCTGAAGAACATCACATTGTGGCCCATGGATTAGAATAGAACGAACAGGGTGAGCGGCTATCTGGGTTTCTCACGGCGACCAAGACCATCCATGAAAGTCGCAATTCCAGAAGCCCCACCCTCAACGCTGTACGTGGGAATCTCCCAAAGGAGAGTACAATAACGAAATAGACTAGTTACAGTGTCCAAAACGACAATGGAGAAAATAATTTTCGAATACTACCCGGACCTCTTCGATAGCCACGTCCACCTTCCGTCATATGAAATAAAGGAGGATGGATATGTTGCACCACCGGTTCTCCCTTCCGAAATCAGTCATGTCATTTCGTCGGTGAAAAATCGAACAGCACCACGTCCAGACAGGATAAGATCAGAACAACTGAAAAACCTTCCGCGAGTCCTCATAGTCCTCACACTGGTTTGGCTCTTCACACGTTAGCTGTCTGAAAGCAACGTCCCTACTCAGTGGAAGACCAGCAAGACCGTGTTATTGTGCAAGAAGGGTGACCTACAGGATATCGGCAACTATCGCCCAATCCGCTTTCTGTCCGTCATCTACAAAATTTTCACTCGAGTCATACTTAACAGGATTGACAGAACACTGGACAAAGGAGAGTCATGTGAGCAAGCAGAGCTTCGAAGAGGATTTAGTACGATGGA